ATAGGCAATCATTGACATAACATAAGAATAAAAAAGGACCCAGAATACTACCTTGGGGAACTCCACATGTTATCGGCAGGGGTTCTGATTCTTTTTTGTTGATTTTGACTATTTGCCTCCTGTTGCAAAGGGTAGGACTTAAACCAGTCTACAGAACCTATACCGATACTTGAATTTTAAATTACATAATATATTGTGGTTGACAGTATCGAAGGCCTTTTGCGGGTCTAAGGTTACCATACCTATGAGGTTCCCCTTTGACATTTCAGTTCTCAGGTAATCCATCAGATTAATAAGGGAGGTGTCGGTTGAGTAGGATCTTCTAAAGCCCGATTGATAGCTATGGAGAATGTTGTTGTCATTAAGGTACTTAACTACTTGAGAATACACCGCCCTTTCTAGAATTTAGATATTATACTGAGTAAACAACAGGCCTATAGTTGCTTACACAGACCTACTATTTTTCTGAAGATAGAGTAACTCTGGCCTCCTTGAACCCCCCCGGTACGGTATTAGTGGTGATTGATAGATTTATTATGTGAGCAATAGGGGTTGACAGTTCAGAAGCACCATCTTTTTGGAACTTAGACAGGATGTTATCAGGGCCTGTGCTCTTAGTTGGGTTTAACCTGCTTAGTTCTTTTTTAATAAAGTCATGAGATACACTTACAGTTGACAACTGGGTTTTGGGGTTACCCCTTTATTGGTATAGTATGTTTGAAACTTATCAAGTCGTGTTAAAGGTATTTGATGCAGCTGGTAGTTTACTTACTAGTGTTGAAAGCAACAGATGTGTAGTAGGAATTAAAGCAATTTGCCACCTTAGATGTTTTGTGGCATACCTCATTATCGATAGTGAGTACTATGTTAGACCTATCTACCGGCTTATGGCTAACCCCAACTGTTTTAGTTGTTGCCAGAGCTTTCTGGGGTTATGCTTATACTCTTCAATTTTTGAGCAATAGTGCTTGCCTTTGCTCCTTTTAAAAGTCCTGTATTCTGTTCCTCACCCTTTGGAATTCATTTAGTGCTGCAATATCCTGTCTTTTGCTTTAAATCTTTTTAGCAGCTGGTCTCTGAATTTCATATTATCTAATATCTCAGTATTCATCCAGGGTTCAGTTCTTCGTTTAATCCTAACCTCTTTAACTGGTGCAATATTATCAAGGATGGTAGTGAACATTGTTTTGAATTTTTCCCAGGCATCGTTTAAAGTCCGTGCAACTTGTTATCTCTGTCCAGTCACAATTGTGTAGCCTATTTACCAGTGTTTCTTTACTGTAGTTTCTAGTTGACCTCATTTTATTGTCCTGTGTAGGCCTATCCTATCCCTAGTGATTTTCCTGGTGCAGTAAATGATGAAATGATCACTAAGACCTGTGGTAATGACGCCTGACTGACTAATGTTTTCAGAGCGGTTACAAAGTATGTGGTCAATTAGGGTGGCTGAGAACTGTGTGATCCGGTTGGGGTATTAATAATTGAGTGTAACTATTTAATCCTAGAATTTGGGTTATACCTTTTGCATAGCCCGTTATTTTGCTGCTGAAAACAGATATTGAAGTCGCCCAGTATTATTGTCTCGCAATTGTTTTCAACTCCGGACAAGACTCTGGAAAAGTCTTCTAAGAACTGGTCCTGGGTAGGAGGGGGGTAACTAAATTCCTACTAAGATGGGTTTGGTCTTAGGAAGCAGCACTTCAAACCATAGAATCTCCAGTTTGTTGTTATTTAAATCAGGTCTTGGGTTGTAAGCTAAGTCATTTCTAATGTAGGCACATACTCCACCACCCTTTCTGTTCCCATCTAAGCGTTTTTATATTGTAACCATCTATTTGGACCTCGTCGTCAGTCACCGTATCATCCAACCAAGATTCAAGATGGTTTTACTGCCCCCCTAATTTTGTTAGCTAGAATCCTAATCTTTGGGCCAATTTAGGAAGAAGTGATCTTGCATTGACATGAATAAAGTGAAGGCCTGTTTTCATAAAACAATTATAATCATCAATATATGGCAATGGGTCATTTGTATTAAAATTAGGTAAATCAAAGTCATCACTGCTAAAGGGTAACTGTGGGCCCAAAATGCATTTGTTACACACAAATGAATTCTGGCACCGTTGCTATAATTGTACATACATCCATCATGCACCCACCCCTTACACATTTTACATAAGGTGCCTTTTCTGTTTTTCATGCATACTTGAGTGCAGTGTATGCACCTGTTTGGTAGTGTTTGAGATAATAATGGCTGTATTGTCTCACATTGACCTATGTATGCATTACATATGGAGTTAAGGTTATCATTCCTAGCTACTAACCGTCATTATCGCCGTCATTTATCGTCTGTTTTGCCTCTGCACAATAGTTTGAGGTCCTGGATTAATTTGGATATCACCACTTAAGAGCGCTAGAATAAGATCTGTGTGCCACTGTTTTTGTTTGGGTATGTGGTGTTGCCATAAACCCTTTCGGCGATAGTGATATTTAAATTTTCTGATAGGATGGCAACTGTTGGGCTTTTACTGTCCGGGTGCTGTTTTACTCCATTCACCTTTTCCAGCCCCCATGACTGGGTTTCTTTCTTCATGGAATTGAAAAGAAATATAAATATAATTAGGCAGCCTGTACCCCCCTAATGCCTGCCATTTTCACTCTTCGCTCTTTTACTCATATACAATAATATTTATTTCTCTTTTCCAGCCCTAGTACACTTAGTAAACTGCTTTAGCAATCACCACTGAATTACTATAAAATTTTCCTCTTCAAAACCCTCTTCACTGCTCACTTTTCCCTTAACTTCACAAAACCCTTTCAGTTAACCCCTTATTTAAAAACACTCCCCTTCCCATCTCACTTTTACAGTCTGGCTTCCCCAATTAATTCTAACTCCTTTCCCATTCTGGTAGATCAAAAGGTTTAATCCATGGTTTTAATCCTTCCAAAACCCCCTCAATTCCATTTATCGGGGTTGTGTGGTGTTTTTTGACTGCCTGACCTGTTCTGCTGACTCAACCATTTTAAAACACTGAGGGGAGTTAAAGCCACCTACAACCTGACTTTCCTTGAGTTTATAGATATATTTGGCGTTTTTTGCTATGATTCTCTCACTGTACACTGGCAGCTGAATATAGGTCAGCTACTAAAACATTAACCTTGACTGTTTAACTATTCACTTCTTTCTCACGACTGACACTGAGGGATATCCGCCTATAACCTTGGATTTTGTACTGTTGATTTGACGATGTCTCCTGTGTTTCCCTCTGGTTAGCAGTGGTACAGGTGATATGATGGTGGACAGATATGATGCTACTGTCAACAGATGAACGTCAGTAAAGATGAGAATTTTACTTCGCTATTGTACTCTGGCAGTAGCTGCTGTTTGGAGGCCGGTCAGCCATGTTTAAATGCTCAATTCTTTCCCTCGTTTGGCACTGAAGAAAAAAGTCCTACAGACCTGTCATTTTCCTTGGAGATTTAGTTGATCAGGTTTTCTTTCCATGTTGTCTTCCCGTTAAACACTGGTGCAGTTGATATGGAGGTCAGTTATTTCATTGTAGTTGAAAACGTCTCATGTCTGGTTCACGTCTGGCAGCAGGTCTGGTACTTGAATGCCGGTCCCTCTTTTGTCATATTTAGTCCATTTCGTTGTCGTCACCGTCAGTTTTTATGTCACTATAGGTTCCTTGCATGTTGTTGCAGCAGTACTTGCAAATTTGGCCATCAATGGAGTTCGGATAGGCCCAGGGGACGGCAAGATATAGGAGCAGCCTTGTTGCTGCTTGCTGCGGCTGCGGCAAACCCCCCCCCCTCGTCTGTGTATCTTCATTGTAGACGTTTCAGTCTGTGCTCTCCACCGACTCCAAGGCTGAGCGACTGATTACCTCATCTTTTGTATATGGTTCTACTGTCTTCCCTTGAAATTGTATTGATAAAGCCACTGGATGGCGAAAATTCTGCAATAAAGATACCCAGATGTTGCACTATGTCTAATTCTTCATCTTGTCGGTATTGTACATGTTCAGTACTAGGTATACCTTATTCCTCCCTCATATTTAGTAATTTAGTGATTAAAAAAACAGCCAAGAACAATTCTTGGACCTTGATTTTTCTACTTTTTTTCAATGTATATCAGAATGAATGTAGTAAGCCAGGGTCAGTATGAGGGTAGTAAGTAAGGGTCAGTATGAAGGTAGTAAGCCAGGGTCAGTATGAAGGTAGTAAGCCAGGGTCAGTATGAAAAGGGAGTAAGCCCCCGGGGCAGTATGAAGGTAGTAAGCAAGGGTCAGTATGAAGGTAGTAAGCCAGGCTCAGCATGAAGGTAGTAAGCCAGGGTCAGTATGAATGTAATAAGCCAGGGTCAGTATGAAGGTAGTAAGCCAGGGTCAGTATGAGGGTAGTAAGTAAGGGTCAGTATGAAGGTAGTAAGCCAGGGTCAGTATGAAGGTAGTAAGCCAGGGTCAGTATGAAGGTAGTAAGCCAGGGTCAGTATGAAGGTAGTAAGTAAGGGTCAGTATGAAGGTAGTAAGCCAGGGTCAGTATGAAGGTAGTAAGCCAGGGTCAGTATGAAGGTAGTAAGCCAGGGTCAGTATGAAGGTAGTAAGCCAGGGTCAGTATGAAGGTAGTAAGCCAGGGTCAGTATGAATGTAATAAGCCAGGGGCAGCATGAAGGGGAGTAAGCCAGGGTCAGTATAAGGTAGTAAAACCAGGGTCAGTATGAAGTTTAAAAAGCCAGGGTCAGCATGAAGGTATAAGCCAGGTCAGTATGAAGGTAGTAAGCCAGGGTCAGTATGAATGTAATAAGCCAGGGTCAGCATGAAGGTAGTAAGCCAGGGTCAGTATGAAGGTAGTAAGCCAGGGTCAGTATGAATGTAATAAGCCAGGGTCAGCATGAAGGTAGTAAGCCAGGGTCAGTATGAAGGTAGTAAGCCAGGGTCAGTATGAAGGTAATAAGCCAGGGTCAGTATGAAGGTAATAAGCCAGGGTTGTCAACATTGCAGGTTGCTGGGGCTCAACAGTGCACAGATGCAGAGTACAGCAGAGCTCACACCTCACAGGTACCGTGAAGAGTGCAACAACCTCACCTATCTCGTGGCCAAGCAGAAGCAACTCTGTAGACTCTCCCAGAACGTCCTCAAGGTGAGTCCCAAAGTCCTCAGGGTGAATCGCAGAGTCCTCCAGATGAGTCACAGAGTCTTGAAGGTGAGTCCCAGACAGTATCCCAGGCACCGAGGCACAAGGAGTGTATGTATATGTTTGCATGTATGTATATGGTTACCTATTTTTATCTACAGCAGCAGAGTTATGTTCATGATGTCTCGTCTTCAATAGTCTCTTCATTATGTAATTTATTTAATATTTCACATGTTTGTAGCACTTACTAATTCCTCTTTTAATTAAAACATTCCATTGGTCAGCCATTCTGTTTCAGAAGAAAAATATTGCCCTCTTGTTATCTATGTTGCAGCCACTAAGAGATCTTCTTCACCTACTCTTTCAGGTCATTACAAGACTCGTATGTGGTTATCGTGTCTGTTATCAGTCAACATGGGCAACATTAATGTTTTCAACCTTTCATCAAAGTTCATGTTACTCTGGCAAACATTCTGTAGCTTTTCTTTGAGCATTATCAAACATATCAATGTGTTTTTTCAGGTGTTGGCACCAAACAACTGCTGCATATTTCAGTTTTTAATAATATAAGTTATTAATAACTTTCTTAACATTTCCATATATTTGAAAGTTATTTTATATTTTGCCATTTTAATGGATGAATTTCTAACAATTTCATTTATATGATCTTCCTGAGACATTTTCTTATTAATAATAAAAACTCTTAGATGCCTTTCTCTACCTGATACTTTCAATATTTTGCCACAATCTATATTCTTCATGGGGCCCTTTGATGTTATTTTTTCCAATTTCTTTTACATGACGTTTATCTAAAATAATTCCATCATCCATCTATCACTCTAGGTGATCGGTATAGCCGGATCCTCTTGTAAATATTTACACTAACTTTTATTTTTAAAATTTTAAGTAAAAATTTTTAAATCATCTGCAAACATGATCATTCATTTTTTATATTCCTTCTGGTAAATCATTTAATTTTAAATTATGAACATTTATTGGGGTTAGTACAGACCCTTGTGGCACCCCACTTGTGACGTCCACCCATGCAGATATTTTTCCTCTTATAATTGTTCATATTTTCCTCTCAAAAAAAAGTTTCTCAAACATTGTAATAATTTACCTTTAATTCCTCTTATTTTTTGCAGTTTTCAAAATTAGTCTTTTATGAGCAACTTGCAATGTGAACAGACTGAGTGATGTTGTAGTGGCCAGGCTTAGGCTTGGTTACAAGTACTTTCTGGCAGTTTGGGAGACACACAGATGATGATCAAACTAAATGTAAATTTATGTGATCAGGCATATGGTCACTGTCCCTTTAACACTATGTGCTTAATTGTCCACTTATTGAGGAATAAAGAGACAGACAGTATAATAACCTATGTGACATGTCAAGATATCTTATTAATGAAAAAAAGATACCAGATAAAACTAAGCAAATTTCCTAAAAATTTTCTTGTAACAGATAAGTGAACTATAGATATGTAATATAAATCCATATGTATTTCCTGTTAACCCTTTGGGGCCTAGTTCCTAGGGCCCTTTTGTGTATCCATATGCTCTGGCGCTACCGTCCACAGCATGGATATGACCTCACAATAAACAGCAAAATTCGGTGGCAAAATCTAAAATCTTTTATGGGGAAACTCTATAAAAGTTTTTAAAGTTTTGGTAATACAATCTGTCCATCCATTTAATTCTTGAACAGTTTTCCCTAACTTAGTCATAATAACTTAAAAAGTTTCCATAACTATCATAAAAACTTAAAAAGTTTTTCCCTAACTCTGTCATAATAACTTACAGATTTTATATATTAAAATATATAAAATAATATATATATATTATATATATATATATATTTTATATATATATAAAAATATATATATATATAAATGTCGTGCCGAATAGGCAGAAAATTGCCATCTTGGCTTAAATAGCAATGCTCATCTTGCCATATAGAACAAGTGAAAATTTGTTATGCAAAATTTCGCCAAAAAATCTGAACCAACGAAAAAAAATAATTTCACTGTGTTTATTTAGTTTTAAAATTTATTGAAACAAATCTAAAATTATTTCTTTGGGGTTAGGTTTAAAAAAATTGTTCTTGTTTAATAAGGTTGGGTAATTTTTCTAAGTTCCTTTTGGTTAAAAATTAAAATTTTTACATCAACTTTAATGAAAAAAATATATCTTTAAATTTAAGAAAAAATTTTTTAGAAAAGATTTTTTTTAAAAAAAGGGTTCTTGCAAAATTGACCATTTTAAATGGGCACGACATATTAATATATTATTATATATATATATAATAATATAATTAGCGTGCCGAATAGGCAAACTTACGTTTTTGGTTTAAAAATAGCAACGTTCATCTTGCCAAATGGGACAAGTAAAATTTTGTATGCAATCTTTCGCCAAAATCATTCTGACCAAACAAAAAAATATATTTCACTGTGTTTGTTTATATTAAATTACTGTAAACAAATCTAAAAAAATTTTTAGTTGGGTTGGCTAAAATAAATTGTTCTTGTTATAATAAGGTTAGGAAAGTTTCAAAGTTCCTTTTGGTGCAAAATTAAAAATTTTTTACATAAAATTTTAATAAAAAAAATATATTTTTAAAAAGATAAAAGAAAATTTTAGAAAGGCTTAATTTTTAAATAAGTTCTTGCTAATTGACCATTTTACATTTCGGCATGACTATAATATTTTAAATATATAATAAAATTTAATTATATAAAATATATTAAATATATATATATATTATATAATTATTATATATAATATATATATTATATATATATATATATTAGTGTGTGGTGTGTGTTGTGGTGTTGTTGGTACTCACCAAATTATCCCCTACTACCTATATTGGGTTGGGGGTCGAGCATAGCCCTGGCCCCGCCCCTTCACGGTCGATACTAATTCATCTCCCCCGCCCCATGATATTTGTCAACCTTTTTAAAGCTATTTATGGAACTTGCTTCCACTACTTTTTCCCCCTCCAGATTTTTCCAGTTTCCTGACAAATCAAGACTAAAGAAATGCTTTAACCCCATGAGTCCCTTGGGTTTTCAGTTCCAATTGTGTCCCCTGTTTCGTATCCCATCTGAAACATTTGATCCTTTTCCCGTTGCCAAGCCTCTTAGTATCTTTTTCTTTATCCCCCTATCCTTAGTGTATCAGTTGAGTTCCCTTAACCTCTCCTATAAGACTACCCCTCAGTTCCGGGGCAATCGTGTTTCAATTTTTTTCACTTTGCCAATTTCTTGACGTTTTGACTAAATGAGGGGTTCCCTATGGGGCTGCATATTCCAGTATAGGCCTTACGTAACTGTGTACAATGTCGTGAATGACTCCTTACCAGATGTCTAAACGCAATCTCAGGTTTGCCAAACTTCCAATGCTGCAGCGTTTTTTATTTATGGTCCTCAGGGGGCTGTTCGTTAAATGCCTTCCCCCAAAATCCTTTTTTTTTTTAACTGACTTTGCACTGTTGGTTTCCTAACCGTACTCCCCCTGCGGCTTCTGTGTCCCTTCCCCCTCTTCAGACCTACACTTACTGGGGGTTAAACTCCAGGAGCCTTTTTGTCGGACCATACTTGTAGTTTGTCCAGATTCCCCTTGTAATCTTAACTGATCCTCTGCCACTTGTATTCTCCTCAACAGTTTCACATCATCAGCGAACAGTGACACTTCCTGATCTATTCCTTCCAGCAGTCATTCCCCGTAACAAGAAACAGCACCGGGCCTAGGACTGAACCTTGTGGAACCCCACTCGACACATTCGCCCACCCGACACTTCAGCACGTATCAAACGGGACGTTGTTTCCTTCTTGTCAAGTATTCCCTGATCCCTTGCAGTACTTTCCCCTTTTTTCCTGCCTGCTCCTCTAATTTTTGCACCAGTCTCTTGTGTGTCTGTGTCAAAAGCCTTCTTGCAATCTAAAAAGATGCAAACTACCCATCCCTCTCTCTCCTGTCTTACTTCTGTCACCTTATCGTAGAACTCAAGTAAATGTTTTGACACAGGATTTCCCATCTCTGAAGCCGTGCTGACTGTCATGTATGAGCCCAATTTTTTCAATGTGTTCCACTACTTTTCTCCTGATAATCTTTCCATGACTTTACATACTATACAAGTCAGTGACACTGGTCTGTATTTAATGCTGCCTGTCAGTCCCCTTTCTTAAAAATTGGAACTACATGTGCTGTCTTCCACGCCTCAGGCAACTGCCCTGTTTCGATAGATTTATAAGATTGCTGCTAATGGACACACAGTTCCTCTGCTCCCTCTCTTAAACCCAAATGGAAATTTATCGGCCACCCCTTGAGGTATCGAGTTCGTCAGCGTTTCTTCACCTCTCCCCTTTGGTCATTTTATTGGCCCAGCCCCTGTGTCACCCTACCTCCACTTTTGTGGAAGCATTCCTGACTCTATTGTGAATACTTCTCTAAATCTTTTTGTTTATTTCTCACATCTTCGGGGCACTTTTCGCACCCCCCTCCTTTTTTCCTCCCCTGATTCCCGGGTTCCTTGATTTTTTTTTTTTTTCTCTAATGTGACTGAAAAACAACTTTGGTTCGATTGGCTTTTGAGCTAGCTTTTCTCGTATTCCCTCGGGGCCCCTCTCTCCTTATCCCCCGCATATTCGTTTGGGGCTTCTGCCACTCCTTGTTTTCTTGACCCTTTCCTTCTATACCTTTTTCCCTGCTCTTGCACACTTGGGTTTGGGCCCCTTTTCACCTCCAAATTTAAACCCGGGCTCACTCTGGGCTTACCATTTTTTTTTGTTGCCCTTTTTGGGATGCCTTCCCCTGCCCCCCTGCCCTTAGTGGTTACTATTTCCATCATGTAATTTACTGTCTTTCCATTAGTTCTTTTTCCCCCCTGACTTTATGCAGGAAACTTCTCATTCCCATGTAGTCCCCCCTTTTTTAATTGGTTTTTTCCTTTGTTTCCCTGCTGCTGCATTCTACTTTTAAACCAACAAGTATTTAAAACTCAGGGC